ATCTGGAGCAGATTCAATCTCGCTTTCGTGAGATATCGCTTGCATCTACCAGACAGACAAATACCTATCAACATACTTACCGATTAAAATCGATAAGTAACAATCCTTCACATCATCAAAAATTTCGTTGCTAATTCTGACATAATGATGCTTACTTGACCATTATTTTGAAATATTAATTGGGAAGTAATTAAAAAAGATCAGTTTATTTGCTAAAAAACATGGGACTTTTTGTAACAGAACCGACTGAAAAATATGTCGGGGGGATGTGGGACCTGCGAGACATTTTTGGTTTTAATATAATATTTTATTAACTACAGCAGCTAGGTTGGCCTCCTGCATTCTACTAAGTACTATACCCAGTGGTGGGATTCAAATTTCTTGTCAGCCGGTTCCATCACACAAATGTCATATTTTCAGCCGGTTTCGTTGCAAAAAGTCATGTTTTTTTTTCAGTAATGCTAACCGGTTCGCTGATCTCATAAAATTCCGTGAGACGGTGCCCATAACGCATTAAACGGTCAAATATTTTCGCTTCATACAAACTGTGGACTTTATTGAAAAATAAATTTATAAAATTTTGTATAATTGGTTGAGTTGAGTTGAGTTTATGGAACGGTAAAACAGTACTTTATGAAAATTTGTGCAGAAGAGCATAAATAGGGTGAAACAACGAAACAATATGTTTTATCTTTGTAAGATTTCATGTTTATCAACATCCATAAGCCTATAAATGCCAGAGAGGCGTTTGGTTGTTGCCACAGGTGCGGGGTCATTCCGCACCCTAACGATATCTCCTCGTCTAACAGAAGCTACGTCTTCAAATTGTGGAAACACAAATCCATTCCTTATTTTTTCAGACTTTTTCATGAATTTTACTTCAAATTCATCATCATCATCGGGTCCACCAACCAATAACCCAACGAAAATCTTGCATCTCTCGTTAGTGTCGTCGTATACTTTTGCTAAAACATAGTCATCGTAGGACGTTTTTCGTAACACCTAATTGTCTCCAGTATTTTTTACGGATGAAGCATCATCATTTACCGAAGAATCTGGATGAACAGAAATTACACCATCTTCACTTGTATGAGTTGCTGCTGCTATTCAAGGCCTGGCGTTTTCGTCGTTGGTAAGGTTTTATTTTCTTGAGCTGCTCCAGCTTCGTCTTTTCCGGTGTGCTTGTTATAGTTGCGGATTATAATTTTCTTTTGTTGGATCTTTTATTCGACGAAGAAACCCTCGGACATCGAACGGGTACACTCCAGTTGTAAGAAATCTAGCTGTAATGTTCAACATAACGGCGCCAGCGTATGCAGTAACTTCGTGTATAGTGATCACTTTTTCTGGATGGGTAGCTGACCAGGAATCACATTGAGATGCGTATTCTCTTTTAAAAGGGTCAAATACGCTAACATCCAGAGGTTGAAGCTTGTGGCTGCAGTGCAGAGAAAACGTGCGAATATGCAATCCATGACTGCGTGACATATCAATAACTCCCAGCGATATGTGGCTGGTATGATAATTCACTAGAAGAATTGCGGGATTTGACTTCGAAACTTTCATCAACCAGGGGAAATGTGCGAGAACCTCTGAAAAAATTTCTGTTGTCATCCACCCTGACCGGCAAGCAAGACCAAGACACTCAGGTAGGCATCTCTAAGCATTCTATCTTGGAATTGGACGTGAGGAAAGACAAAAGCCGGTGGCAATGCGTTTCCTATGGCGTTCACGCATGCGCACATTGTGACAGTAACGCCGCGTTCCGCTGATGGTATGCTTCCGACCTGTTTTCTTCCTTATTTCTGCGATAACTTGCGGGGTTTTAACAACAGTGTTAATGACTGTTTCGTCAGGATTCCAAATATTTTGTGGTAAAATCGGTCTTTGTTTCATGTACAGTTTTTTCAAGTTATCGAAAAAATTTCAACGTTATGCTTGTTAAAAGCCATTGCTCTAGCCTTGCTTGTTGGCACTGGCTGGCAAAGGCTCAAGTTTTCTGTTCTCCTCCGAAATCCTTTAAGCCAATCCTCACCTGCACAACCGTTCCTGCTCCAACTGCTAGGAATATTTTTTCTATTCTTCAACGCATACGCATATGCCATTCGCTTAGCCTGATCGCTTTTCAAAAATACATTTACCACCGTTTCTCAAGAATGCAAGACGACTCAACCTCGATGCCATGGCGAAATTGAAATTAGAATTCGGCCACTAGGTGTCGAGAATTAGCGTTGTTGCATCGGCCCCCTTGCGTCGCAGGTCCCACATCTCCCCTCTTTTGTGATGGAATCGGCTGACGAAAAAATTTGAATTCCACTACTGGACATCTTCCCCTATACAAGTCGCCTCAAGAAGCGCCTATTATCAGCTAATCTAGTTGCCTAAATTTTGAACAGTAAACGAAAATGAAAGTGCACATATATCTGAGGACCCAATACAATTTTTGGCCTTCATCACAGAAACTCTAGGTTCCTTAATATAATGATAAACGATATGCCTACTGCCTAGGACTATTCCATCAGATAATGTTGGGTTGTTTGCGCCGACGATAGCGCACTATGGCACATTAAACTCAAAATTGAGGATTCGATCGTTTCCTCGCGGAACACGGAATTGTATTCAATCCTGATGCAATCATTGAGGTTTTAGGATCTCGGTCGCCAAATCAACATTACCGTAGTACTTACTAATCTTCAGCCGAAAAAATCACCACCAATACAACTACACATTAAACAAGAGTGAAAAACAGAATCAAAACGTCATAAAAATCGGAAATGAAGTACGTTGGGGGTATATTTTGATAAACGCCTAAATTACAAAAGACATACCGAATATGTTGTAGAAAAATGCAGTGAACAGACTAATCCACTGCGCTTGCCTAATGGAACTACTTGGGGAGCTAAAAACTTCCCTCTTTTATCATTGAACAGATTATTATTTCGACCCCTTATCGAATATGCTGTGGAAGTGTATTTTTCAGCATTAATATATGCCATACAAAAATGGCAATGGCATCTCCATGTCTACGCATCGCTGCATGTGGCCTGACGAGTAGGCTACGACAATATGTGTACTACAAGTTATTTTGTAACGAGATGCCATTTAATAAACGCAGATGCAATTACTCTATATAAAGCTAAACTGCTGACATTTGTTGATCATCCTCGCTAAGAAAACATCGACCATTCACAACATCAGATATTTCCCAACTCTACAAGTTTCCGTACATTTGGTATGATTGTATGGACTTTTGATATTATAAAAATTAATATAAGTATTGTTATACTTGAAGAAATTCTACCATTGTACATGTATGAAATTAACGTCGACAATACATTATCGAGTATACTCTTACCTTGTTATATATATGACGGATCAAATAAAATCCATACGTTTAGAATTTAGATTATATGAGCGAATCATAACCATTGCACATGTACAGATAGTTCAAATTTTTCAATGAATCCGGTTCTGCGATTTTTATTTTATATAGGAATATTTGTATGGGATTTAGACCTGACAAGGACTGTTCCTCTTTCGATTGCAAAGTTTTTGCAGTCTATAGTGCATTGGAATGGGCAATAAATAACTATCCCGCAGGGAATGAACTTGTAAGCTCAGATTGTATGTCTTACATTCACGCTTTCAATTATAACTCCAATAAAATAAGTAATTTAGCTTCAAATATTCAAGCCTGCATTTTTAATTACAAGAACAGAGATGCGAAATCACTTTACTTCGGTCTCCCGGAAATGTTGCCATTCCGGGTAACGAAAAGGCCGACAAAATATAATGATTTGAGTTGGGTTGCGCGAGACTAGCTCACTATAGCTTTCCTCTATATGGCATGCCTTTATGTTAGTGGATTCGTATGCGTAGGAATAAATATGACTATTCTATCCAATTAAAGTTGAGTAAAGACTTTGGTCTAACGAAACTTTACACAGAAATACATTTGGGGTAGTGTGCAGCTGGACTCTTTAATTGGATATAATATATATAATTATGTTAGTAAAAGATTGTCCAGGATAAGTAATTTAAATAAAGTGACCAATAGACTCATTACAAGACCATTTTCCCCTCAATTAAAAATTGCATAAAGATCGACATGGTTACCACGATTAATGGACACAATTTTATTTCGACTCCAGACGGGACATTGCCGTTTAAATGAGCACCTCCATAATATAGGATTTCATAATACTGGCTTTTGCGATTTTTCAAGAGACATTTTCGAATGAACTGCCGTGCGTACAGTAATGGAAGACAAATACCTAATTTATTCCCTCCACTGATGATTTTGTAAACTCCATCAGGAGATGAATATGGGCATATTAAAAATTGGTTTTCAAATTTCCTGGCGCAAAAGACTTATTGAAGAATTATTGAAAGCGCCATATACTTTCATACAACACATACACACACACTTGTGCCATTCACTTGTGTTATGATGTAATCAGTTTTAACTATCGTGTGGTCACCTCCCAGCACTTCATTAATTACAATCGTGTGGGAAATAACAGAAATCTCGAAGAATTACAATAAGTCAACAATACATTTATATTATATATGTGTGTAAGACATATATTTATTTGAGTTACATATTATGGGGACAATGGTTCATAAACCATCGAAAAGCTTGTTGTGGACTCTCGCAGTAACTATACTGTCGTTTTAATTGTAATATACCACCACATCAATTCAAATACAAACGAAAATTTACGATGTGGACTGTTCCCAATACAATCGAGTAAATCAACGCCGATTTGGAGTGATCATTAGAATATCTAATTGGTAGTTTTGGTACATATTTTAACCTTGAAATATTTGCCAAGATTTGACGAAAAGGGTGGACTGATTTGTCCTGAAAAGCGAGCTAATTATTTGCGTCATCATTGGCCATTTCCTGTTATTTTTCACTTACGCACATCCCATTCAGAGTTTATGCTGCATTGCTGTGATTATCTGGACGAAGCTATCACGATGCCCTCACAAACGAAATGAGGGTGAAGCAACACGTATTGATCTATTTGGCATTAGAACTTCCTTCATTTTTGGCAACGGAGTGGTGTCCATCTGGTAAGGCGTATAATTTTTTTATTCGTATACGGTTATGGAACGTAACGGTTAAAATTGTAGGTTATAATTTGGTCGTCATCTTGTTCAATTTTCTGCCATGGATTATTAAAAAGCCAATCAATGACAACGTTACTTTTGTTGTCTTTTAGTGCAAACAACATACACAAAAAATCAATTGGATATTCTGAGAAGGCTTATAGAAAACAATTTAGTACATTTGAACCAGTTACATCGTCTTGGACATTTAAAAGCTTCGGAAAAAGTTAGCGTAGAAGAGGATCCGGATGGGTTTAAAACCAGAGGTAAAACGTCTTTCAATCTTTTACTGATATTTCTTTCCATTGCTCATAATTTATTACATTACTCTTTAGCTACAAACGCGGATGATGATTTAAAACTATTTGCTATCGGAGCCTTCACCAAAATGATTGAACAAGTTCTATGTGGGCATTTCATGTGTTTATATGGTTCTACTTGTAAGATCAGGTCCTTGAGCAACGTGTTCATCAGCTCGGCGGCTTCAACTGCTGGCACAATTCGTTCTATACTGGAAGAAACGTTTGGAACTCGATTATATTGGGAAGGATGGAGTATGGATTATGAACTGCAGCAGATTCGAAAATACTATGGTGCGTTTCCAAATGGGTGGTTTTTCTTCAAATCACCTGATGATGCAAGATCAATGCCAAACACAGCTCATGACTTTACTCTCTTTTCAAATCCCGACCAGGGTACTATTTTCCCAATCTCGAATGGTTATATGTGCATCTAATGTATGCTCTCTTACAAGAATTTCTCGACGATAAATCTAGTTGCATTTTACAAGGCTTGTCTGATAGATTTGCTTACTGTGAGTCCGCCCGGATTACATGGTTTACATTGTGAAAATTGTAAATAAAACGTAATTTTTCAATTCTCTTGATTTTTGCGTAAGAATATAACTATTTGTTATGATGATGTTTCATCGTTATTATGTCCCTATGAACCAGACTGTATAACAAGCAATAGTTGGGTAACAAATCATAATCGTTATATTGAAAACGACGCGTCTAGGATGAATTCGACAACGTTAGCCCACAATCAGCACATTGTGTGCAGTATTTATTCGTTATTCATGTGGGTGAAGAATTCTCTATTAGGGAGAAGACGGTTAGAAACATGAGAGTACAGCGATTAACATTAGGCAAGTTAGTTGCCGCCCGTTGCGTAAAACCAGCCGCGAGTTTCACCAGAATGTTCATTCGCATGTAAAAGGCTAATCTGAAGTCAAAGTCTAGCCTACAGTTAGCCGGATGAGACGGATAGCTGAAACACACTTCGGACACAGTCCCTACGACTAACGATTTTGAAATGAAAGGGCAAAAGCTGAATATGAATTAATATTTTTGTTGTTAAATGTTCTAGCAATTTTATTCAGCTGTCCTAAAGTTAAAGGGTATGCCATTAGATATAACAAACTTACTCTAAAACTTACATTTTTGAATAGGTCATGCGATTACTGGGTTACTTTTTCGATATGTTTAACATTGTATAACATCAATTACATATATTAGATATAATATTTAGTTATTATGTAAATATAAACACACTTGGTTGACAAATATGTAGACATTAGCATTTTAATAAGCAATTCTTTCTGGCATGCTAAATTTACGACAGCCTGATAAGTACAAGGGAACAGCGCTCCAGCCACCACCGATCGTAACAAGCTTGTTGTGCACTCGTAGAATGTCTTCTGCAGTGGGGTGTGGATTTCGACTGAGAGCCCATATATACTTTGGACCTGGAAAATAAGAATTGAAAGTATTTTTCATACAAAGTAATTGATTTCCAAGTAACCGTGGAAGCTAACCAGCTTCCTTTTTTAAAACCAATTCTAAGATATCATGAAATAGTTTTGATTTCAGCAATGGGAACGTGATTTTTGACATACAATTTTTAAAAGAATGCAATGCTATGTTTCCAAGAGGTTTGGGTTTCTTGTTTATTTCTGTGTCAATGTCTAGAAAGTATTTTCTTGGGGTCAAGGGTCGGGAAAACATTCATACTATTGGCAGATGATAACGAACGAATAATTTTATAGATTTAATGTAAGAAAATTGCGAATCGAAATATCTACCCAATAATCAAAATTCGAGTGTTTTAAATAAACCGTCCGTGCAAGGCTTGGTGAATGTAGAGTATTTAAGAATATATTTTTATACTGATATTTGTTTGTATTAAAGCAGGAAAGTGTTTTGTTGAAATCCATACCGACCTTCTCTACCACACTGCAAGCACAGTAAATAATGCCCATAATTTGTAAAGCAACTAAACGGATGCTCATAAATGTACCGCATCTCTGCAATGCAAAAAAGTGTATTATTAATCAGCTATGTCACTATCTTCCTCTATGCATTCACGTTCGGTACATATGTCTAGTAGTATAAAGATTGTATTCTGATAATAAGTTTGTTCATCAAGAGTTTGACATTAAGGTTTTTTCAACTTTGGTTTCCTTTTTATATATATTTGCAACATAGGTGTTTTCTGAGTGCATCTGATTTGATCAATTTTTCAACTAAAATAATTTATAACAATATAAATAGTAGTGAAAATGAAAGTTATCATAGGAGTTCACCTCCCGACGCTCCGTTACGTTTTTCCACATCCATCCCCAAAAAATCTGCAAAAAATGATCATCTTTTTATCTAAGTTTAAAATACTTCAAATATAAATTTAATAAGTGAAAAATTTTTTTTGTAAACCGAAACTTGTGTCGTATCTTGTAATTGAAGTTCCGTTCTGATACCAACGGAATGGTATGACTTCACTGATTGACATTGTTCTCTGTGTAGAAAAAATTAAGGAAAACGTAAGCCTTTACTCAGAAACTAAATATTTAATTTGTAATCTCATTTACGTCAGTCTTAAAACATTCAGTTAAAAAGTAATATTGTATACCACTCCCAGCATCAGTTCATAGAATATCCGGCTGAGCAATTCCCTAGGTCTGGAGAATTCACTCCTATGATTTGTTATGATTTGTCGGCTGTTACAACTTTTATAAATCTTAAATTCAGAAAATGTCAGACAGATTCTCACTCAAAAAACCAGATTTATATCCTTGATAAGGAAAACTTTAGCTCAGTATACGGGTGCAAAATTAATTTTGGCTCAATCCGTAACCAACTCAATGCTGACCAGACGACAAAGTTAGAAGCGATAACACGTCGGTGTGTTCAATTTCGGATCTCAAGTCGAAAGTTCACCTATTCGTTCGACTATATTCGCTATTGTCTTTTAACGCCGCTTATTCCGGTTGAATTTTTTTTTAACTTCTATAATCCCGAAGACCTATAAGGCAGTGAATAGTGGAACCGATTAGTAGGTAACCATTTTAAAATAAATTATCTACGTATATCAAAATTCTTTACTTTTCCGCTGATGAAATACCCTGGATTTGAGCAAAAATTCGTCAGGAGTTTCTCTGAAATATTTGATCACATAACATGGTACACCGCGTTCAATTCGATCATTGGTGATTAGGATGTGATACCAAGAATCAGGAAGCTGCAATATAGTGATACAAGATTTATATAGAAGAGATAGCCTACATTCCTTACATAGATATAAACAGCTGGTGGCGTAATTTAATTGAACCCCTTTTATCGCCAAGTATTTGTTCTTTCAACTTAATGATTATTACCAATGCTCACCATATTATAATTCACTTCATCAGATACAGGCAATGCGCAGTTTTCGTTTTCGCGACGGTATTCTGGTTTTCCAACTGCTGGTTTGAACATCAAGCAGACCATCAAAACAAAGACACAACTTGAGAAGATCATTGTTATACGTTCGACAGTTTTGAACGAAATGAGAAAATATGTCCAGATAAAGCAATATTAAATCGGGAATGTCAGCAGAAGCAAGTATACTTCCCTAGTTTTCCATGCAGTACGCACGTTTCCACTGCATGCTCAGTTTATGCAATATCAAAATGCAGACGTTACGAGATTCTCTGTTTTCCAATGAGATCATTCCCCTCAATTCAGGCAATAACAAAGTCACGACAGAACAAGGAGCGATGCTAAGAGATATGCACACAAATCACTACCTTCCAAGTGCATAGTTTCGTATAAGGCCTCAATTTCAAGGTTACGTGACCATCTTCAATGCGGTATCAAATTTAGCAAATAATACATTTATATGTTATGCGAAATTCATATTCTATCTGTAAAAATAGGTCGCATTTAAGTTAAGAAATATCGTTTTTCACCCGAGGTTAGGAAGCATCCAAAATAATTCCTATTGGCGATAATATGAAGTAATATTCCTTATCCTATATTTGCCTGGTATTTGTCTGTTTAAACCAGGGGTCGACAACCTTCTTTCGCTCGCGGGCCGAAATTAAGGGTTGCAATTGGCGGGCTGCACACGTATCTCCAATAGGCGTGTCCCACTTATCCCACATATCCCACGCGTCTCACTTGTCCCACGTGTCCACTGTCCCATGTGTACCACTTGTTCCACGTGTCCAATGTGTACCACTTGTTCCACGTGTCCCATGTGTACCACTTGTCCCACGTGTACCACTTCTAATTCGCAGAATGGCAAAAATACGGATTCCTAATGGCGATAACGAATTAGCAAGATTGCAAACATACCTATCAAAAATTATTATTAGACTGTTTATCCCGTGTGTTTATGTCCGCATATAACATCTGTTTTTTTTAGAGTTGTATTTGAAAGTCGCCACCGCGAGTTACGTTAGACACAATTAAGTTAATCACCATGGATTGAATATTATACGCCACAGAAGAGTCTCACAGAAAAAGTCGTTTTTTTAACGAGTGAATAATCACGACGACTGGTATATGAGGAAACGAAATATATATAGACAAAATATATGGTGAATGAATATATGATAAACGGGATTCATGTGGAAAAATATTTGGCGAATGAGATATATGTGGACAAAACCTCTGAACGACATGTATGAAAAGAAAACATTTCACAAATGAGCTGTTGGTGGACAAAACATCTGTTAAATGGTATGTATGATAAATGGGATACATGTGCACAAAATACATATTGTACATGTGGACAAAACAGTCATGTGGTTCCAAACCTTATCCGTTAAACCACTCCCTTATCAAATCTTTCAACCTTTTTATTCTTCCCTCACTATGCATAAAACTACTGTATTAATTTAATCCTTAGATCTTTGTCTATTGCCCTAGTTAAAAAACCGATTTTGTACAGTTCCAGTATTTTCTAATTAAATGTGTGCATTGTATTATAATAGGCAGAGCGAACTTTGGGAAATCAGTAATGCTACAGCAAATACAGAGCCGATTCCTTCTCAAAAGGACAAAGTTGCTCGCCGGGGATAAATTTTTTTCCAGTTTGGAAAACGTGCCCCCAATGAATGAGATATTTGTAGACAAATTACGTAATAAATAATACTATCTTTAGCTATAGTATATGATCAATCAGTCAATGCTCAATTGAAACAATTCGTTTATTTTTGTTAGAAAGACGCATTTGTAAAGCAGACTAATTCCATCAAAAACATTACTTTAAGTTCTTTGTAGTGGATGCGCCAAAAATATATGATCACAATGATTTAAGAAATTGTGATTGTAGTATTTTTTCAATTGGGCTAGTATCATAAAGTACGAATGACTTGAAGATGAAAAAAATAAGGGAATTTAACATAGAAATAAAAAGAAATTGGTATAAAATAGTAAAATCAATTCATGCTTGCAATAAAATAACAAACATCTTGGCAGAAAAAATATAAAGTATTGCAGTTACATATAAAATCGGAGAGAAAAATGCAATAGAATGGTAAAAATATCAAAAATAATAGGTAGTATTCATGTAAGATGGGGCTATAATTTATTGGTTTGATAGATAATGTCAACATCTGCTCGGGACATTATTAACTTTTACATATCATATTAGTCTACAAACTACCTGAATTATTCTCTTATTGCTCTAAGTTTACAGAAAAAAATGACGAAACTTGGAAAAATCATGATAAATATCAAGCGAAGAACTAAGTTGCAAAGCAATTCAAGTAGTTAAAATCAAGGGTGTGCAACATTTAATACAGGAGGACCAGATAAAGATAACTGAGTAAAACCGCAGGTCGCACTTTCATTCAACATAGGCTTTCTGGTAATAGCAAGCACAAAAGATTTGGTTATTGATGACATGGGTGACAAATTATGACTTGGTTTATCAGTGCCGGAATATAGCCGGGTTGATATCGGATAGGTACCGACATGGGCGCAGCCAAAATTTTCGATGAAATAAAAACAGAGCACCCAAAGTGCAATTCACGACGACGTAGGCCGTTAAACTGAAAAGAATGCGTCGTTCACAGCGAAATTCCACAGTTACGTGTAGCCCGCCTCTAATGTGCCTGGCGGTTTATGGTGAAGTCCTATTTCAAATATCGACCATTAATCGTAGTCAGCAGAACCCGCATTTGAAAATAAACATCAGAAATCGTGAAAATTAATTTGAGA